TTATTTCCGACTGCTTTTATAATAATTTATATATGCAAGCAAAGTTTATGGCACCATTCTAAAGAGTGATTTGAATAGAAACTCTTTAAACTAAAAAATCTAAAGGTTCAGTGATGCGAATATTTTTAATAAATTTTTTAAATGTCTATTGAATCACAACATATTAGGACACTTTTTTTACAAAAATCAAGTTTATTTTCTACTGCTACCGTTCATAAATGTTAACCTATAAAGTGCAAGATTACGTTAAAATTCCAATGGGTAACAAAAATAGAAACTGTCAGCAGTGAAAATAATTTTAATATTTTTTTAAGTGCATATTGCACGATAGGACACTTAGATTAAAAAATAAGTTATTGCGCCTAAATTCGTGATATTATGTTTGCTTTTGTTTTCTACTTGTTGCTTTTTCTGAGTTTTTTGGTAATTAATATCTGAAAAAGGCTTTGAATAATCTTAATCAAAAAATAAACAATTTATAAACAGATTCTTGATTTACATAGCAAACGGTTTTTAGAGTTTTGAAATATTTTATTTATTGAACGTAATTTTATTTTGGGTAAAAGATTTCCTTTAAGATGTCAATTTGAAACATGTACAATCCACCAACTGTTGTAGGGTTAAGGCGGATTCGAAAGAAAAAACACAGGCATAGATTTTCCACTTTAACTGGTTTATAAATATATATATCTTTTAAAATTATGTTTGAATACTATTTGTAACACTATACACATTGAATGCATAAATAAAGAAAATCTTTATTATAAAATCACATACAATTTTCAAAGAGGAGGACAATGATGTAAGCACAAAAGGCATCCATTGTACAATAAATATCAAAAATAAATAAATATGGAAAAATTCTCGCGAATTTTTTTTATGCTTACAGCATTGTTTGAAATTCACACATAATTGGACAATGAGCGCTTCACGCACGTGGCGAAAGAATAAATACATATATAAAAAAGATATCAAGTAAAATAGCAGAAAGATTTTCTTCCGGGTCTGGCACATAAAAATTCATAATATTTCACAAACAATGCAAGACAGCTGCGAAGAAAGGGATGTTTTTTTTTCTGTCTTACTTTCTAAAATATTTTCAAAGACGTCAAATGAAATTAAAGGAAGATTAAACCCCAGGGAAATTCTTTCGAGCCCAGATAGAACCATCCTCCAGGAAAAAAAACTCAAATAAGTCCATAATTTTCTTCCAAATGAGACTTAAGATAATGTTATTAGCTGCCATAACGGGCCATCAGTTTTCTCGGTTTGTTTGGTTGGCCTTTTAAGAACGGCTGAACTCCGACTGGGCATCAATCATACAAAGCGCATTACCACATGGTATAAACAACTAATCGTTGCACATAAATTTATTTCGACATTTTTCTAGGCAATTACCATAAGATGAATGTGCTTGCGAAAATTGCTTAAAATAGTGAACATTGGTTGGATATACCATGTGATAAGGTGTTAAATAGGATGAAAGTTCTATCACATAATGAAATGGTATGTGCAATGGATATATGAGTAATACTATTATGAAACGTAAATTTGAGCATTCAACCAAAAGCTGCACTGCACGGATTTTAAAGAGTTATTTTAGACGTACGGAATTGTATTAATCTACGCAGTTATCTTCGTCTGTTCCTTCAGAGCAATCCCATCGATTGTCGCACATTTTGTAGGGTGGTATGCATCTTCCCAAGTTGCAACGCACGCCTTCGCATGTGTCGTTGAAGGGATGTTGAATATACTCAGAATCTGAAAAATATTTATGAGTTAAGAGGAAATGAAAGAAGATAATTATGAAATTTTCAAAAATTTGTGGACTAAATTATATCGAAACAAAATTGATAAATACGTCAATATAAATGTGCAACCAACTCTCAATATTTCGAACTAAAATCTAGTGATTAAAAATCACAACACAAACCACAAATCTTCCACAAATAGATTTATTGAAAAAAACTGTTTTAGCAACGGCTTTGAGCAATCAATTTATAGTGCCTATATGCAGCACAAATATTCATTTTCTATAAGCATGTAATTTAGATCTCGACTTAGCGTCGATCCCAGCTCAGAAGATATAGAAGAATTTGGCTAAACGAATTTGATTTGCTGAATTTATTACTCATTAATATTTCTATGTATTTATTTAGAGTATAAATCATTGGCCAGGTACAAACAGTCAAAAATTTATTGAAATTAACAAGCTAATTGCTTAATTTGCAACAAGCAAAAATTAACAAGAAATCAAAATTTGCTGAAAGTATGCAAAATCGTCAGGATACGAAAAATATAAATTGTTGCAAACAGATACCTGTTGACAAACCCCCTTCGCATCAATAGCCGCTTGGATTACGTGAAAAAATATATACTAACTTGAAAAACCTTTGTTCGAATGATCTGATTTTCAATCGAATATAATGAACTAATAGCCCTAAAATGCTAATTAGAGCAGGGGCTATTAGTGTATAAAAAAATTCGATCTTTTTACTAATAAATTTCTATATTTTGTTTTAACCAACTATTTATCCTCAAGAAAGCGATCGTGAGTGAAGTGTCCCAATATTTCATAAAATGCATAAAATATCAAATATGCAACTCCTTAAAACAGTCCATTTCTTAAACTACCGTTTATTGGAACATTTTTAATCAACTGGAAGCTCGATCACGAATAAAAATTCANGATAAGGTGTTAAATAGGATGAAAGTTCTATCACATAATGAAATGGTATGTGCAATGGATATATGAGTAATACTATTATGAAACGTAAATTTGAGCATTCAACCAAAAGCTGCACTGCACGTATTTCAAAGAGTTATTTTAGACGTATGGAATAGCTATTAATCGACGCAGTTATCTTCGTCTGTTCCTTCAGAGCAATCCCATCGATTGTCGCACATTTTGTAGGGTGGTATGCATCTTCCCAAGTTGCAACGCACGCCTTCGCATGTGTCGTTGAAAGGATGTTGAATATACTCAGAATCTGAAAAATATTTATGAGTTATAATGAAATGGTAGCTATTTATGAAATTTTCAAAAAATTGTGGACTAAATTATACAGAAACAAAGTTGATCAATCGGTCAATATAGATGTGTAACCAACTCTCGATATTTCGAACTAAAATCTAGTGATTAAAAATTCACAACACAAGCCACAAATAGATTTATTGAAAAAAAATATTTTAAAAACGGCTTTGAGCAATCAATTTACAGTGCGTATACAGTTTTATACAACACAAAATGTTCATTTTTTATAAACTTGTGATTTAGAACGCGACTTAGCGTCGAACCCAGTTCAGAAGGTACGTAGAAGAATTTGGCTAAGTAAATTTAACTAGCTGAATTTATTACTCATTAATATTCTAGGTATTTATTTAGAGTATAAATCATTGGCCGGGTACAAAGAGTCAAAATTTTATCGAAATTAACAAGTAAATTGTTTAATTTGCAACAAGCAAAAATTAACACGAAATCAAAATTTGCTGAAAGTATGCAAAATCGCCAGGATACAAAAAATATAAACTGTTACAAGCAGATACTTGTTGGCAAACCCCTTTCGCATCAATAGCCGCTTGGATTACGTGAAAAAATATATAGTAACTTGAAAAACCTTTGTTCGAATGATCCGATTTTCAATCGATGAAAAAAATTCGATCTTTTTATTAATAAATTTCTACATTTTATTTTAACCATCTATTTATCATCAAAAAATATAATTGCTTAGCGATCGTGAGTAAAGAGTCCCAGTATTTACATAAAATGCATAAAAAATCAAATACGCAACTCCTTATAAAACAGTCCATTTCTTAAACTTCCGCTTATAGGAACATTTTTAATCCTCAGGAGCTCACGACTGAAAATTTAAACTAATATCACATAACTTATTTCTGGTTGAAAGCTTCTTTACTTAAGTGCTATTTGTGTAAATTTTTTTTAAACTGGAATAAATATTGTAGTTCGGTACTTACCAATAACACTATTGATCCAGGAAAGATATCGTGCGACTTTGGTATAGACCCCTGGTCTTTCAGGTCTACCACAACCATCACCATTGCTTGTAACTCCCAGCAATATCCATCGACCATCATCTCTTTGGCACATAAGAGGTCCTCCAGAATCACCCTGTACGGGCAATAGAAACAGTTGTTTATACAATACAAAGAAAATATCTCTATATTATAAAAATCGTAATCTTAAAATCTGTTTTGGTTGTTTAACTTAACTTAATTTTGATTTGCTTCGCAAAAGCAATACGTTGCTGAACTAAAGAAACAGTGTAGTTCTTTTACCATGAGTTGGCACTTGACTCCGCCTTCATCACGTGGTTTCTGGATATACTATTTCACTATTTTATTGAGAAGGATATAAACAATTCTGAATAAGGTTGCTATTTGGCGATCGTATGAGAAAAATATTTATTTCGCAATCTTTATGTGCATTTTTTTAACATTTCAAAAATTTGATGACATTTCTCTCTTTTGAGTGAATAGTTTGCCCTTTTTGAGACATTTTGCTGCACTATATTTAACTAGTTAGAGTAACGAAAGGTATATTAGCAGATAAGGCAAAGTATGTGACTGGAAAAGAAATTCACTGTCTGCGTTTGGCGCGCACTAAGGATTGTCTCAATCTCAAGCGCAGAGAATTTTCTAATCTTACTCCCGCCCCGAAATGAACTCTTCGTCCGAGGAGGTGGAGCCAAGTGCCAGCTCCTAGTGAATGAACTACAGCTAAACTAAAGGAAGTAGTTAAAACTAGTTGCTATACTAAAGAAACAAAGTATTACAATGACGTGTAAAAAAGTACAGGGACTACGACGGAATAAAAAAAATTAGATTCGGCAATAAATTCAAAAATTGGTAACAGTAAAACTTGTATAGAAAAATATGATGTTTGGGTGATCTGTAAGCCCTCTGAAATGCAACTACGGAATTAAAAATTGATGTGCTGAAAGAGCCATTTCTTTCATTTGTGAACTTTTTTGCTTCTCAGCCTTTGCTTGTAACTTTTTCAGTCTTTTTTTTTTGCTTTAAATATTGACTACTTATCTATTGTTCCAGACAATTTGTTTTTTCCTCAAAAGAACTTTAATTCCTTATTTTATAAAAGTTCACGCTCCAGTAGCTGTCAATCAAAAATAGCAAAAAGAGAAAGATTATATGTCACCAGATTAATTTATATTGAATTTCTTAAAAAAAATAAATAAAGAGCGATAAAAACGGTTCCTTACTCGAATTGTTATAAGTAGCTTCTCGAAGTAAAATTACTTCTCATTTATTTCTTCTTACTGAATCATGTAAATTCGTATTAAAGTTTAGCTTCTTTTTTTTTTTTGTCAAGAACAGTTTATTATTTTTCAAACCTAAGCAAATGCCTATTTCGTTACGATTAGCATGTAAACATAATTTTCATACATAAAGCTACAATGCTTATATACTTAAAGAAGAAAATTTTTCAGTGTTTTGGAGGACAATATTGATGTTTAAGGGAAGGAAAAAACGCAGTCGTGAATAAGGAAACGAAGCAGGCAAGGAGCGCAGTCTTCAAGTATTTAAGAGAAATCTTACCAAGAACTAGTTTAATGAGCTAGTTAAATTTATACGAAGATATGAAAGTGTTTAGGATGAAAAACACAATTTTCATATAGGTAATAAGATGTATCTCTATATTGTGCTGTTTTAAAAGCTACTATCTGGTTACCTAACTATATTTGGTTACTTTTGGCTACCTGATTATTTAACTGCGCTATTTCGTAGTCTAATCGTGCTTTCTTGTTATCTAACTGTGCTTTCTGGTTATCTGACTGTGCTATTTAGTTATCTGACTGTGCTATTTACTATTCGATTACCTAAATCTGCTATATTTACTCATCCAAATATGCCATCTGTTATATGTCCCTTTAACTGCGAATTATGTGTGTTATGTGTCGATTTTAATGAACATTTCTTGAAACTTGTAACGAATCTGGAAATAATGTTAACGGACAGTTTGGTGTAAAAATGTTAAATTCTGACTTATTATATTTCTCTATGCATTTCAAGCCCTTTATATGTTTCATTATGTCAGTTGCTTACCAAACAAGCATCTTGCCCTCCGCGATCATATCCAGCACAGAACATATTATCGGTAATGTGGTACATAGAGAGAAAGATTATTTTCTTGCGACATTCCTCTGTAGATATGACTGGTAGCCGCACTTCCTGAAGACTGTCAGCTGAAATATCAATTTGATCAGAAAAGAGAACTTTAAACTTGCATAATGTAGTTAAAAACAAAAAAAATTATTCAATATTTCCAGTTCAGAGCATTGTTTTTAAATTTACAATTATAATTTTTCCATGAACTTAGTAATTGACCCATTTAAATCTTCTTTTTTTTTAATTTTATTTTATAACCGTCGTTGAACAGCTCACCCAATTTTTCTGGTTTACGACTACTGATGCTCAACTCCGTAGCCTTGTAAGTTTGAACCCAATCCAGAAGACTAGCGAACTCCTGGATGAACTAGTGGGTGAAATTTGCCTTCGTGGAGAACTTTTTGAGCAGAAAATACTTGGTGATAATAGTCTAGCAACATAAGTGGTTTCTCGTTGTTCGAAAAAGTTTGAATTCCACGCTGTATTAAAATTTCCTGATTTTAAAACTTGAACTTAAAAACGAACAAATCATTAAAAAATAACCTCAGTATTTAGTAGTTAAACTGAGTACATTTTAAAATTAATAAAAAAAATCTATTAAGCATTAGACATCTTTTATATTTTATGCTAGCTGAATATCCGCTTTTCGATAGAAAAGTAAACGATCAATAAACCACTACTGAGAAACACTGCGAAATCATCCACAAAAGATATTATTTATGTATAGATATATATATATAAATAATTAAAACTCATTGTTTTTCTTAATTTTTTACGTTTTTCACTTTTTATCTTTTTTGTATTTATTNTATATATATATATATATTAAACGGTCATTTCGAGAAGTGTACTGTTTTAAAAAATTACCGATGCTTTTTTGTTTTCAAGCTTCTTACTTTAACACCAATAGCACCATTTGTTACGTAGCTTTTTCTTTTTAGGATTTTTTGTCACACATTCCATTTTTCTTTCTTTTTTTGGTATTCTAGAACAGTTTATAGGTACAATTTTTTTTTCCGGAATGTAAAATCTGAAATAAAATATGAATTGATGCGGAAATAATATAGTTAGGGCATTTGGACACATCAATGTTACTGGTCCACTGAATGGTTGATTTTTCTACCCTTTTTTCCAACCTTCTTTCTTTTAATGTAAAAATAACTATCTTGTAATCTATCTTCAGATGCAGTCATTTGTTTTCTTTGGATTTAAACCAATTTTGATATAGAGATCTTCAAATTCAAAATGTATTCTTAACTTGCTACATACCACTTAAAACATACCATACATTAGTTTATATTGGTACATATATTTATTGAAATAAATAGGTGTACTCACGGAACGTATGTCCTATCTCGAACAATTTTCCCCATCCAACAACCGAACAATTTTTTCCATGCCACAAGTTTGCATCTTCACTTTCCAATGGTAAACACAAGGGGCGCAAATAGTCACTAAAAATAAAAAAATAATCATTATATTTAAATATTTATGAGGTGAAAAAATAATAATCGGCCTGCACGTTACGCGACTGACTTTTAAGCGTTAATACAAATAAGCATAATACTGAATGTGCAGGACACAGATTTTTAGGACTAACACTTGAAGATATCGTACATTAAATGGGAGCATTATTTTTTATTTGATGCAACTTTCTTGCTGAGGCTGAATTCGTATCATTTCTTACTCTAGTCAATGTCCGATTTAGCTCGGATGACCGCCTGATTTACGCTATAATATATAATCTTATTATATTATAATCTTATAAATTACAAAGATTGTTTAAGTAAAATGCAAAAATTTGCTCACACATTAATATTTATGGACATGCATTTTATACTTAAAATCATATAGCTTAAGGAACTCAATATACCTCAAATTTGATTAAAAATTATAAAAAGTTTAAAAGAAAAGTTTCTTAGTTAGTGGTAGTTAATTGCATTGTTTTTTTATTTAAATTTTAAAACTAAATTTGAAGTTTACTGAGGTAAAAAGGCAACACTAAAAACAGCACATCAAATTTTATTTTTACAAATAAATCGAATTAGACGAAAATTAAGTAATGAAAAATTACGTATAGAGAATAACTGATTTAAAGGTTAAGAAATACATTGCCTGTGTTTGTATTTGCTCTTTATAAAATCTAATGAAAATTAAACAATTAGTTTAATTTGATTACAATGCGATTAAGAAGGATTCAAAAAAAATAAATTGAAGAAATTGAAGAAATTTTAAAACCTTGGAAACACGTAATACCTATTATGGCATCACAATTCATTAAACCGTTAACCCTCAAAAAATCGAGAGCCAGAAAGGGAGAAGCTTCATAATAAAGCTTGTCGTTGTGACTTGTGCTCCAACTGTCTGACAAAGTCAGACAAGATCCATTAGACCATTAATCCTCCGAAAATCAAGAACCATAAGTGGAGAAGCTTCATAATAAAGCTTGTCGTTGTGACTTGTGCTCCAACTGTCTGACAAAGTCAGATAAGATCCATTAGACCATTAACCCCCTGAAAATGAAGAACCAGAAGGGGAAAAGCTTCATATTAAAGTTTTAAATAAGCAATTACCTGAAAAGAACTGGACGATCCATTCTGAGAAGGGAGATATCATTTATAAATCCTTTGTCCACATATTCCGGATGCAGAATGATTTGTTCTATTCGTCGAATTTGCTCCGAAGGCGATGGCAACTCCGATCCTCTTCTTAGCAACCCTAACCGTGCTGTCCAGAAAGCATTTTGGGTGCTAAAAATAGAAGAAAAAATTGCATTAAAGAGATATCAAATTTCAAGTTTTTTTTTTTTTTTTTTTTTTTTTTTTACAGTGGAAAAAAAAACAATCCCGAGAGAAATAAGTATCTTCCAACAAAAGTGAAACAAATGGAAGAAACTCTTCATCGAAAAGAAATATCAAATATTAAAACAGTTTTTTTAAATAGTTTATAATTACAATCTAGTTTAAGTAATAGTAAAATGAAACCTCTCTGGAGCTAAAACTCTCAATTCCATAATTAAATGGTCATTAATGGAAGTTGCTCGTTCTTAGAGATTACCTCCATTGACTTCAAAATTGTTATCGAAGGTATATGATTTTTTGCAAACCATATTAATTTCAGTCAGTGTCACTTTCTTGGAGGGGAAATACCACTTCCTGTTGGCGTCTTGAAAAGACTTATGGATGAATAAAATTTAGGATCTATAAAAATGATCCCAACTAATATAATTATGTGTAAAAATAAACTTACCAAATATGAATGATAAAGCTATTTTAAATAAATAAACATGTTTTTTGTTTAAGCTTACATTTAATTTTTTATCATAAAAATTTGTTAGCTTTAAAAAATAAGCAGTGGTGTGAGTTTGAGTTACTTATTTTTTTGAAAATTTTTTTTTTCTAATTTAACTTTCAACTCTAAAAGTAAATCATTGATAGCATTGTTTTTAGAGTATTCTAACAGCAACATGAAGTTGTATCGTCAGAAATAGTTCTCTAAATAAGAGCCTGACACAAGTACTTAGAATATATTTCAATCTCTTTATTTGTTTTTGTTAAATTTTTGTTTTGATATTTTTTCGCATTTCCTTGTTTTACATTTTCGGCATTTGGCGGAGATGCTTGCCAAGTCGTTGTGAGAGGTTTAATGGTCTTTCTTAAAGGTTTTCTTCAACACAAAGCCTATGGAAAAAAATTTCTTGCCTCCCAAAAGGGGTAGTAAATAGAGGTGGTCTTTCCTCTAGGTTTCAAAGTTTTAGTTTCCAAGCTATTTAATATTTGATGTTCAAATAATAGAAAACGTTAAAGTAACAAATGAAAAGAGAAATAAAATTAAAGAATTTCTTAAAGAAATTATAAAATAAATATAGTTCTTCAATATTTTTTTAAATTAGTGTAGTAGAATCTAAACCTATCAAGAAGTGTTAAAACCACATAATCAAATTTTATTAATACTACTAAATTAACAAGAATCACATAATACGAAAAATCACATATTGTAGTCACAGTTACAAATAGTTATTCGCAGTTACACTATACCAATTTTTATAATCAAATGCAGTTAAGTATGAATACTCAAAACGGCTATTAAATATTAAAAAATATAAAAATTCTCTATAAAACTAAAATAAATATGAAAATAATTTTTGTCAAAAAATAGTAGACATATATTACTTAACTTTTGGGTGCAACACGGCTCTCTGGTGTTACATTAAGTTTTACTACTCTTAAACTATTCTTATTACAATTAGTAATAATATTACAATTAATAATATTAATAATATAAATATAACATTAAGTTAAACTATTCTTATAATACTAATTGCTAGACGATTGTATTACTAATTTTCACCTTCCTTCATTTCGTTCTATTTTCCTATTTTGTCCAGTTTCTTACAGTTTTTCTCAGTGTCGTTCAGTGTTCAGGTAAAAAATTTAATCCAGAATGACAGATTAAGAGATCAAGGACTTTAAAATGAATTAAAGCTTCGTAATACTTTACCTATAAAAGCAATGTCCGGCCGATACAAGCCAAATGTCCGAGATTAAAACGGCACCACATTGAAAATCTCCTTCCTTGTACAAAGCTACCTGCCAAGGCCAAGAACCACTATTTGCACTTTGTCCACCAACAATTCTCCTTCGAATTGCTAAGCCCATCGGTCTGTGTCCACAATCTGAACAACAAAGCAATTTTCTTTTGTTCATACTACTATAATCAGTGTAAATAGAACAGTAGTCTCAAGATCACACGATTACCCCACTCTCCATACTTTCTTTCTCTCCGTTACCATGGTATTCGCAAATTTTGCCTTTTCCCTACGCCCGTTTATTTTCACTTCTTACTGAAACCTATTGCCAGTAGTCGGAAATAGCACACTGCAAGTAGTGAGACTACTGTAGTCGCTACTTTTTTCGTAGTTTGCAATGTAGTGTGCTACTTTTTTTTTAAAAAATTAGTGTAGTGAATAGTGCGAACAGTAGTTTGTAGCGATTCCCAGCTACTACTTTTTATGTTAGTTTAGCATATGAACAGGGTTCTAACACAACTAATGTTTCGAATTTGATGGGTATAAATCATCGCGGGTCTGTCCAAGAAGACAATTTTAAATGCCCCAGGGACTGTGAGTTAACAAGAACTGAGTATTTAGAGTCACGTATAACTAATATTTAAGCTAGCCATTATGAATATTAGATAATTTATCACTTTCGTCACACTTTCTTAGGCGTATGTATACCTGTAAAATGTTATAAGTTATTTCAGAGGAAGGAAACATATTTTCGGTGTACTTTATTTATTAGAGAAAATATTAGAGCAATTAACAACTAAAAAATTGTAAATATTTGATAATTTCGCAGCATCTCTTAAACTAAATATTCGCTGTCAAAAAAGGGATACAAAGTGGAAGACCAAATGAATAAATTAGAGGAAAAAAATGTTTTAGAATAACAAAAAGAGTCAAGTAAACATGAATAAATATTTTTAAATAATTCTTCATGCTAAGTATAAGCCAATTTTTTATTCAAAATCATTTTGAACATAATATGTGAATTAATTTCTCCTGCCGTGTAAATTATACAGGGGTAAATTAGTTTCCTTAAAGTAATGGACTACAACTCCAAAGTAGTTTGTAGTCTCTACATTTTACAAAAAAGTAGTTGCAGTTAACTATTGCAACAAAATAGTTGTAGTAAACTACGAAAAAAATGTAGTTTTGTACGACCTTTGCGAAAAAAGCAAGATTTTTCCGTAACGAAGAGGGAAATATTGCGGAGAGTGGAAAAATCGTGTAACCTTGAAACGCCTATTCCACTTATAAAGAGTACAATAAGGTTTGCTTTAAAGTAAAGTTACAAAAAAGGATATTTTATAATTTAAAAAAAAAAACTAGTATAATTACCCAAGGATTTACAACGAACTCTCATGACATCTCTGGTGTGACATGATGATGGTTCAAATATGGCACTTGATCTAATTAGATTAGAAATACATATGAAATGAATGCCTAATTTAGCTTGGACGCCGTACAAATATTTGTATAGTTATACAAAATGTTTCAAATATTAAATGCTTCGCAATTTTTTTAAAATTAAAATTGAACAGATTCAATTAGAAGCCAGTATTCTCAAATTTTCATTTATTGAGTTAAATATACACTTATTTAATCAGTATATAAATTAATGAATAAATGATAATAGTGTAGAATATTCATCTATATACAAAATTAATTCGTGCAATTTAAATACTTTTTATAATGAACTTTGACAATTCTTTCATACTTAATGATTCCAGAATTAGCTATTTTTGTAGCTTCAAATCCAATCGGAGTACTTGGCTGCATACCAATCAGCAGAATATGTGACAAAAGATTCTTTAATAAGTCAATTATTTATTAAGGAAATATTTCAAAAATATTTTTTAACAATAAGATATACATATTTTTTTAAATATAAAGCCAGTGCTAAAAATAAACCAGTTGCCATAGTTTTCATAAATGGTACAGTCTGTTATTGTAGTTTTCTTACTATGGTATTTATCTATGATGTTGCTACTTGAGAAGTAATGTCTCCTAACATTAAATGGAAAGGTTTCGTCAAAATGCACTAAGTATGCGTTTGCAGATTTACTTTTCAGATAAGGTTATTTCATCATTCAAATAATTATAAGTTGATTAAATCTGNCATGTGAGCGGGGCTACCCGAAATCCAATTTTTTTTGTAAATTTGTAATTACTCGAGCAATTTTTAGCATATAAACTTCTTTCTTCGTGCAAATTAAACTTAAGACTACATACTTTAATGCTGTATGTATAGAAAAAATTATTTTTTTAGTATTAAAATGAAGTTTAATCGAAACATTCAACCATTTTTTCTTAATTTCATGACTACTGTATTCAACATATTTTCAAAACTATTGTTTACCATGTTAACAGCTGCATACATACTTGAAACTTTGAAAATAATCTTTTTTTAATATAACAATTAATGTCCGATGGCCCATTGACTTGAAAAAATATTCTATACATATGAAATTGATTGTGGGCGGTGGTACCCGCTGGGCGGGGCTACCCGACTCTCCCCTATATACGAAGTTATTTCATGCAATTTAAATATTTTATATAATAAACTTTAACAATTCATTTATACCTAATGATTCCAGAATCAGCTATTTTTGTAGCTTCGAATTCAGTCGGAGTACTTGGCTGTACTAATCAACAGAATATGTGACAAAAGATTCTTTAATAAGTCAATTATTTATTAAGGAAATATTACAAAAATATTTTTTAACAATAAAATGTACATAATTTTTTTTAATATAAAGCCAGTGTTAAAAATGAATCAGTTGCCATAGTTTTCATAAATGGTACTGCCTGATATTGTAGTTTTCTTACTATGGTACTTATCAATAATGTTGCTAAACTTGAGAAATAATATCTTCTAACATTAAATGGAAAGGTTTCGTCTAAATGCAGTAAGTATGCGTTTGCAGATTTACTTTTCAGATAAGGTTATTCTATCATTCAAATAATTATAAGTTGATTAAATCTAAATATATAATCATTATTTAAATAGTCAATAAATAAAAAGCACATGCAAGATAATTTAAGGAAACTCACTTTTTCGAAGGACTTCCCAGTGTATGTGAAATGGAGAAGTATTGTTCTTCTTCAGTCCTGGAATCATGAGCTCGTGATGAAGTCGATACAGTCCTGTAATACAAAATTCTTCCTTCACAAATACAAAATTTAAATTTAAAATTTCTGACCACGATCAACTCCATGGAATTCCTACCACCTTATCTAGATAGCGAAGTAAAAAATATTAACATTACTCACCAAACTTCACGCAATATAAATCGGTTTTTAAAGATTTAAATAGCATCACATTTACGTACGACTACATTTTAAAGGCTAACAACACTGTGAAGTTTTCAAAAAATACATTTATATTACTTTATTGTTCGTAAATTAAACAGCATACAAGTTTGATAGCGTTACCAAATTTGAAACTCATTATCTATTTTAAGAATTTTCAGAATAGTATGAACGTTACTTAAAGATAAATTCAAAAAATATTTTGACACGGAAAAACAAAACAAAATCGAAATAATCACTAGTGAGAAAATTGGGTTTCGCAAAATCAAAGCCCGTTTGAAAGTTGAAATGCGGTTATTCAAAACAATTTTAAATTTCTCTCAAAACGAAACAACTTTTATGCACGTTTCTTTAAGAAATTTCGTACTTTTTTGACAATTTTTGTTGACAACGATTTTAAATATATAAAATATGCATGTAAAAGGTAGGGATTACAGAACACTTTGAAAAGAGGACTTTGAATAGAGCTTTCTGCATTAGCTGCAAGCATTTATGAAATTTTAAATGACGTTATCTGAAGAAAAAAAAACGCTTTTGATGCTAGTAGACACGATAACTTCAAATTTTAATCGATTTAAGCAACAATTAACTGCTTTTTTATATAAAGTGTGCTAGCAGTATAGTACGCAAGTGGCATTTTTGTTTTTAGATCATTTAATTAATTTCGAATCCCAGATCATCCAGTGTGTAGCGCCTGTGTAACGTTAACTCCCAAATAAAAAGTTAAAAATGGAAAATTATCTGAAATTAGTGTCAGAAAATACAGTACCTGTAAGTAAGGGCACTGCAAACAGCTTTTCCTAATTCGTCCATTTTCTTTTGAAGTGAGTCTGAATCATGAAGGCTGTCCAGGCAAAGTTTACCCCACTGTCCTTCTTTTCGAACCATTAAATACCCTTCTGGCCGATAATGAATATCCTGAGCTTCTGTTACTGACTCAGCCAATTTCACTGAAAAATTATGAACGTTCCTTATTTTAATTACACATTCAAGCGAATAAATTACAGTTTTTAATTGCTAGTAATAGCAAAAAATTTAAGAAGGCCATGAAATAAGAACAAAAAGGAAAAGAAAGGAACGTTTTGCTGCATTATTCTTAGGAAACGAGATCATTTCCACTTACTTTTAAAATTGGATATTAAGTTTTTAATTTCAACTTGAACAAAACAGATTCTAATTTTGAACTCAGAATAATAGATAACACTTGGAATCTATTTATTCATAGCTCGAATTATCTGAAATCTGCTGTTCTGAATCATAGTTTTACTATGAAAAACTATAAAACAATGTTGTCATAACATTCATTTGCAGAAATGAATGGTTAAAGTTTAAAAACAAAATTAACATATTCTCGAAGAAAATTCAGTTTGAATCGTGAAAAAACAATGATTACTTAGCTTATCTTTCAGAAGCATCATCCACTGACAAACCTTGTAATTAATTTTGAAATTTTGTGAAAATTAAGAAACTAATTTCGTGCATTTTTATCTACTTCCTATACTTAGTAAATAAGATTTAATGTTAAAAATAAATGGTTGTTTGTATGATAGAAAAAAGTGCAAATACTGAAATAAAATTAGAGTCAAAGATTGTATTTGTAATCGATAAAGCTTGAAAGTCGTTAATTGTCTCATTTGCGTAATCAAGAATTTTCTGTGATTTACATTGGTAACTGGATCCTTAACGGTTTCCGTATCTTAACAGTTCATAACTTTGTTTCTCCCTATAATTCTATCAACTATATAATATATCATATATGTATCCTCTATATATATGATATCATATCACATATATATGAACTTTATATATATAATTAGCTGTTTTTTATTGCACCATTATTGATATTTTGATTACAGCATAATTGATTTTTTGATTGCATCACTTAATTCCTTAGTTGTGAAAAAATAAATGACATTTTGCTAATTTTCGTAATTGTAATATTTTAAACTGTTTAATTCTTTTTATAGTTTCCAAGGAGATTGATGATTGATTCTAACAACTAATGTGTTAACTGTGATAACCTGACTTTTTAGACACATAACTGTGATAACCTGACGAAAAATAAATCGCATGTTAAAATAAACATGAAAAAACAAATGTTACTGTTGAACCATCAAAAAATTTATTTTTATTTTACTGAGTGCCGAGTAGGTAATGCACAGATTATTTAGGTAGTTGGCAGCTTAAGTAATTCAAGAAATTAAAACCTTTTTCCTCACATTAACGAACCTATACATTAGCTAGATATTTTCTGATTTCTACATTCTAGCAGTAACACACGTATGCTAAAATGCATGCATAAATTGACTTACTTCAGTGTTATAAAATAGAACAAGTAAACGAAAGTGGCACAAAATATATTATATGCAACAGCAAAAAATATACATTTTTAATGTTTGGAATATTTACAACACACATTGTGATAAATGTTTTCTTTAAAGGTTAAATTTCAAACTCTTAGTGATCAAAAAAAGGTTAATTTCATCTTTGTTTTCACTCCATTTGTCATTTAACAATTGTCTTAATTTAAAATCTCCACATTCCTTCGCAGTTTTTCTGACTAGGAGACGTTGTAAACGTTTTTTTACTCGCTCTTTAAGCCCGAATATCAAAAGATTTCCCAAATCGGCGATCAATCCCCTGCCAGTTTTGCGAATTTGAGATGTTCTAGTTGCTCTCATACTGCCTCACTCACAGTACTTTCATAACTAGTAAAATGAGTTAACTGTGGTTGTTAAGCACGGTTGTATACACTTGTTACTTTTCGAACTTTTCTGCAATCGTCGTCTAACAGTCGAATGTTTAGTTCCATCAAAAGAAATATTGAAGATATTTTGAATATTGAAAATCCCACCGAAGTCACTACGAAACGAGTGGTGAACAAAAGCAGAATTTGCACTTTCTGATCATCTACGAAATACAGAATAACAAAATACGTATGCAACTACTGCAACAAGGGTATTTGTGAAGACCACACTTTTAACATCTTCCAAGTGTGAAAATCATCATTTTTATCACATTTTAATTTAAATATAATGGTGGGAGGCGGGCGTTCAGTGGATTGAGCGCTCACCTCCCAATAAGGTAATACGGGTTTGAATCCCCGCTTTGGCTGGTGGAAACGAATTCCGAAGAGTGCTGACATAAAATATCCTCAGTGGTAGAAGGATCGTGGGTTAAAGTCCATATTGACGTTTTGGGCCATTTTCATAATAAATATTGACAGCGCTGGCTTCAAATAGGCTAAACTTGACCTAAAAATCATGAGTAACAGTTGCAAACTCACAGCAGTTATAAAAATACCATTATTATTCGTAAAAATAAAGCATTATATATTACGACGGAGCCTTCGAAAAACTGTCTTAGGGTTGCATTCTATCTTCGGGGGATGGGGAGCGTCAGCGAAAAGGGGTTGAAACCTACAAGTCATTTATATTTTGAAAGATATCAGTTTATATTTGAACACGATTGTATTTACCACAATATTTTTCATCAGTTCCCATCGGACAATTGTTTTCGCCGTCACAGACTTGAGATGTGTTGATGCAGAATTTTGTTTGAGGACAGATGATTTGATCCGGACCACACCATGCTAAGAAATAAAAAAAAGAGACATGTAATTTATTATTGTCAATGTCATTAATGTTTTGAAACGAACAGAATTTTTCATTAAAAAGTACACTCAGTTTTGCATAAAAATATCAGAAAAGGGAAAAGGAATAGTTAGTGGAAGCTAGAAGATTTAATGTGGCCAGGATAGCCTGGTTGGTAGATAGGATGGCCAGGATAATTTCATTGGGCCCATGTCCAAGACGTCGTGTCTTTAATACTGCCCGGTGAATATTCCCCATGCAGTAAATCGTGACTGGCGAAAAATTAAATCTGTCGGGCCACAAAGTCCTCCATGTTCCCATAACAAATCATATCTCAGGGTACAGAGTTGTAGATTAAGCGCTGGATTGTTCTCTAGTTCAGGTCAAAATTACGATCTGTGGATGAATGAATGTGTCCGCCCTATAAGCGGACGTTGACGCTTATAGGGCCATAGATGGCGCTACTGAAACGCGCACTCTGCCTTAAATTCGCTTGGTTTTACCAAGCAGGCTTACTGGTATTGGCAAGTGGCATTAGAAACAGTAACAATAGAATATTTAATAGAAAATAAGGAGTTGAAGCTATTGCCACTAAAACTTGGAAATCTTTTTTTTCGTGCACATTATCTAAATCTGCATATTAATTAGTTTTATCTTAAAAAGTATAGACTCAAGTGTTTCCTGCAATTTATCTAGGCTCGCACGCTAACGGTTTTCATTCCGTTAAAGTGGGAAAGTTTTTTTCCTTCTATCAACTCATTTGTTAATTGTTAAATTCATTGCTCAGGTACCGAGCAATAAAAAAGACGTAAAAATAATTGATATTTACGTTGAAATATGAGCTATTAAAATGTATCAAAAAGTCATTATTTAAATGCGTGATTAGAAACTTACGTACCATAATAAAATAGTAGTTAAAGTAACGGAATCGTGAAAATCACGCAGAGGAACATTGAAATAATTGCAAAAGAAAAATATATTAAATTTGGGATGAAATTTAGAGCCGAATAAGCTATTATTGAAATGCGTGATTTGAAACTATTCATAATAAACACCGGAATTTTTAAAACTATGTGGAATGCATTGCAGAAACTGCTGAAAAAATTATTGAAAAATAACTTGGATTTATTATTAAATTGTCACAAATAAATTACTTCCAAAAGAGATCAATGAAATGCTCGATTTATAAATCAAGTCGTAATATAGTAATAAATGCATAGAAATTTAAAAATAAACGCAAGGCAATTGGTAGTTTTGGCAAAAACCCAAAAACGTCACTTGGATTTAAAACGAAATAGGCTAAAATAAGGGGGAGTCAAAAAATGATTACTCAAATTCGAAGTTTGTGTATCGTAATATCGCATAAAAAGTATTGGGTTTTTTAAAACCTTGCAGAATTTCGTAGCAATAACAGTTGAAAGAGCAATCTAGAAACAATATAAATTTACGATAGAATCTGCACAAATTGAGTGCATTAAAAAGCGATTACTCAAATTTGCAATTCAAAATTTTCGTATTTTTTTTACTTTTCGAAGCAAAAAAATTTCATTGTGTTCATAGTTAGCTAGATAAACTTCACAATAGCTAGATAATCAGTAGAACAATTGATTTCTACTCTTTAGAAGTAGCATAGCTAAGGACACGATTTCACACATCTGTTGGATAATGGAAAAAACCCTGTGTTTCTAAAATAGGAAATCATAATATATTCTTCGTAAAATAAAAAAATGTCTTTTAATGCAATGAAAAAATTGAAAAATTTAATTAAATTACTAGTATGCATCAAATTCTGAAATTTTATCCACAAAACTAATTTAAAATTTGGAAATTCCAAAGGAACGAAGTAAAATTAAATGATACAATCAAAGTATTTTAAAAACAATGCTAGGCATTGAAAGATTAAATGTAATATTTCAACGTTATATGACTGCTTGAAAAATACTTACGACAATTATTTTCATCACTTAAATCTTTGCAATCAGGTATGCCATCACATATTTTTTGAGATTGTCCCATCACTTTTAAGAGTTCAGAGCATGCTGCACAAAATAAAAAATACTTCATCAGTTTCCATATCATTCTTCAATGTTTGTTAAATTATTTGTAAAAAACCCTTTTCATAGAAGTTTTTTTCCCCCTTTGAACTAGAAACAGAATATATACAGTGTATTTCATAACTATGTATGTTTTTTAAATTTATTTGAAGAAAAAACCAAACACTATCTGATGAATTGCTATTACATGAGACAGAATTAAGAACACAAAAAAATTATCTAATTGCTGGAGGGGGTGGAACTTGGTGTTTCTAATAATATTTTTTGTCATCTCTCAATTTCTGATCAAACAGAGTTTGATATTTTTAATCTCACCTTCCACCTAAACTAGTGCAAAAGTGTCTAGACAGGAAATTTTTATACCCTTAATCAGATATGAACGGACGTGACTCGGTCTAAGTCTATATAGTCTAGGAGCTTAAAAAAAATTGGAAAGCTGTCACTTTTAGTTAATTTTTAAAAGAGGGTGCAACCCTGAAACGGTTAATAAGTTGCGATTGAGCAGTGGTGGCTTAGGAGATGGAGCGCTCGCCTCTCAATTAGGAACCAAGTGCAAATCCCAGCTTACGAATTATGTTCCCGGCTCGCACCGACCACAGATCTAACGTCAAATATCCTCAATGATAGACAGATCATGGGTTAGAATCCCTTTGCCGTCTGGCTAGTCTTGAGAGGTTTTCATTATTTTCCTTTCCATATTACACAAATGTGTGTGAATTCCATCAAATATTTTCCTTCTTTTCTGGGTTGAGTGCCAAATAACAAGGCTACGGAATGAGCGTTGAGAGTCACAACCCCGATAATAGGTAGGATGCTCAAAGCCAAGTATAAAATAGGTTGATAAGCCTTTCAAGTTTCATTTGACAATCAAACTGGTTTAGGTTTTTTCTGTCTCGCCTTCCTATATACTTGGTGGAAA